CTTATTTATATACAACCTATTCATGCCGAAGTTCACTTTCTTTTCAGTGCATATTTGCTTTTCCCACACTCCACTTCTACTTTTCTCTCTTTCAAAATACAATAATTTAACATTTCTTCTAGGCCCTTTTGCCACAGACAGTTTTCTCCTAGGATCCTAAGCCTCTTTGCAAGTAGTTTCTTTGCTGCAGCACTTCTTTCTGCATTAAACATTATAGCAATCTGACAAAAGAAACAAGGATGGGTCAGATCATTCACTAAAAAAAAAGCAAAATACGTATTTTCTCTGCTGAAAACATGCATTTTATGATTTTGCAAACAATGGATGAGAGGCATTGAATAAGTATATCAATAAATGTTATGGAAAACAAGATTATTTGCTGTGGGAGTAAAGAAGCAAGCAAGCAAACAAAAAAACCCCCGTTACTGCCCATTTCAACTAGTAGGAGGGGGTTGCATTTTTAATATTGCTCTTATCTTGAAGACAACAAAGAAAAACTACTAGAAGCTCCTAATTCCCTTTAGAGACAACTGTAGTTATAATAAAAGAAGTGTACAACTGACTGGACCTCAAAAGAGAAACAATTTCTCAGCACTGAGACAAGATTAAATATATCTAGTCTATGCCAAGAAGCTTGACCAACCTGTGTCTCAGAACTATCAGGGATGAGAATTTTAAATTCGCCCTGGGTTATTTGCTGTTGAATTGTCTGATAAATTAAAAAAGTTATCAAAGCTGCTTCATTTATAAACACTGTAGTACCTAAATACGCCAGTTTCTACGGACTTGTGCAACTAGAAATTGCATCCTTCATGTTTCTCATTAATCGGCCAAAAAGGCAAGTACTCCTCTTTCTAGCTGCAGGGCTTGGGAAAGGCCCATGCAGTCCACCTGATGGGTGGTGATTTCTCTTATCACTACTATTAATAGAATTCTCTGAATTTTGTCACCACCTCCAACACATGGATATTCCCCTTTTTGCTTCATCTGCTAAAAAAAAAGAAACAAATTCCCCTTTGACAATTCTACCTCCTCCTCGACAATCAATCCAGCCAATCTAGTAAGTACCACTAAGCATCTTGTAAAGAAACAGCACCAGACCAGCAAGCTCTCTTTGACTTGAGTTCAGTTTCTGCCTCTGAAGACACCTATTGGCTGTCTCTTCATCCTGCATATTATTCAAAGCAACTACGCTATCAAGTCTATCAAAATATAATCCTGATTATTGAGTCTTTCTTTCTCTGCTCTGTAAAACCAGACAGGAGTTCCTATAGAAGCACGTCCTCTGCACCTTACAAACCTGGATCAGAGCTTTACCCTCATACCACAGTACTGAACTACCAGCAGTGATTTAAGCTTTAAACACATGAAAGGTAAGCAAAGTATGTACAAAGCAGCAGGTATGTAGCTCAGAACCAAAGCAAAGAAGAAAAATACATTTATTAACACTGGAAACTCTACTGGTGTGTGCAGATCTTGCTGTGGGCCTCAGAAAGAAGAGAGATTTCTTCAAGTATCTGCATTGTTACCTCTGATTTGAGCATGCCATGTACTGTGGTGCAACCAGCATCTGAAATAGCTAGATTAAAGCTAGTTCTGGTGTGTAAATGGCACGTTGCAAGCACAGCCCTTGTTAGAGAAGAGGGGCTAGCTGAATAGAGAAGGCAAGCTCTTACTCTTTACAGAAAGCTATTTGTAATGTCAAGAGAAAAATAGTCATTAAAGGTTGACTCAGTAACTCATATACTTGTTAATGAACACTAATAGCAAATCTGATTATACCAGAGGGATTGGAGCACCTGTAGAAACTGTCTTAGCCCCATCTCAGGTCAGAGTAAGATGCTAGAGCAAAGAAGGGCCAGCCAGAAATGCAAGCTGCCTTGGCTGGAAAACACAAAGCACCTTCTGGAGAGTGCACGCAAACTCATCTCAGGCACCTATAATTCAGTACAGCTGCACACGTTTTACCAAAACGTTAACTATTCAGGGCACGTGGATTAATACGCGGCTCTTTAATAAGCTGTTTAATAAGTCATGAACCCTCCCAAACAGCCCCTGTTTATTCACACAAAGTGAAGGTGCACAGACCCTGTGAAGGGCAGCTATGCGCTTCGCCGTTTCGTGTCCGCAGTTTCTAACGGGGTGTTTGTTGCCTGACTGTCCCGCTGACCGACAGCTCACCGAAGGCTCTGCAGAAATGAATACATTTTTTTTGCTCTTTGCCCTGCTCCTTTTGAAACACTCCCAGGCTTCGAGCTCCCTCTGCAGTATTTTGCAAAGCATTGTCTTGCCTCAAGAAACATCTAAATTATTTGGTTAGGAACTGGATCATTCATAGCACTTAAATTTCTGGGAAACTTCCACTGAAATCTGAGTCGGCCTTATAAATCATCTCTACTAAGTTTTATTCTGATGTGGAGCGGTTATGATCTGTTGACCTTGGCAAATATTTTCTTTGCTAAAGCTCCGTGAACTGCTTTCAAAGGAAATAACCGGAGGAAAACAAGTTGCTTGGGTATTTTCATCTGTGAATGTGTCAAAGTAGAGGTAATGGGTCGGATTCAGGCATAATAAAAGGAAGCACTAAATCACTATGCCAGGCATTAGGGGTAAGTTTAAAAGCACTTAAGCGATTATTTATATCTTAATTAAATGATGATTTGTGTCTTTTAGTTCCATGTTTGTTACTAATTTAGACTCTTAGAATTACAGTGACATATGGTATCGCTTTCATGTCTCCTTGTTCATCAGTGCTGAATCTGGCTGCAAAGTTCCCATGAACCAATTAAAATCTCAGTTCTGTTGCTTTTAATTGCATGTCAAAGGATAGCGAAAAAAGGTATAAATTACAGCAATTTAGACTTCCTTCACATAGACACCCCTCTGAATTTGCCTGTCTGCCATCACCAGGCACAAGATATGCACCGTGTGATTTGGTTCCTCCTGTTTTATAGAGTTATCATCTTCCTTGGCAAAATTAAAATGAGATTTTATTTAACTGGATTTTATACTTCTGTAGTATTACTAGGTCTTACATCTGCTTTCTAAATTAATCCACATGCCTCAAATATATTTCTTCTTGGCATCACACTACCCTTTTTATTCATCTCCTTTTCTTCAGTTTAAAGCATATTGAGGGCGGCAGAAAGAAAACACATCTCAACTCAGGCACATCTCATGCCAGCTCAAATTCTTAGTGCGAGTTCCTCTCACAATTTACTTTACCATGAAATCCTGCAACAAGTTAATTCCCTCCCATTTGCAGCATTAAGGGACTACACAAAACCAAAATAACTATAAACAGGTTTAATATTTCATCTGAGAGACTGGGAGCAATATGCATGCTAGCTGCTTTATAAAGTTGGCATGAGAAGATGACCTGTCATTTTTCCTGGATGAGGAACATCAGAGGGAGGGGGGGGAAGAGGCTGATGGAAGTCCTAAATTTATTGTGAATTTTGGGATTATCTGGTTAAAAATTGAAGAAAATATCGCCATAGGAAAGGATATTATATTATTAGGATATATTATTTTAAAGGAAATCTTACTTGGAGGAGATGAGGTTATACAATGTTCATATAACCTGGGAGGATTTTAAGGGAAACAAATCTTTTATTCAGTATGAAATACGTATTTCCTTATATCATTGTACCCACTGCTGTGGATGAACAGATGAACTTCATGTGTGTAGCCAGTTCCATATATTAGCTTTCTTGCTCATGTGCAAGACTGCAACAGGATGCTGAAAATCTAGTGCTTTTATCTAAGGAGAGGTTGTGCCTGTGGGAGTTTTACAAGTATTTTGGGAGTAGTTGTTCCTCATGTTGGAATGTTAGACTGAAGGAGATGCAGAAAATGGTAACGCTTAAGCTCATGTATCCAAGACAGCAATCTTTTTATGATAGGGACCATAGGTCTATTTGTGTGTCGCGACAAAATAAAGGCTGTACTGAAAACAATCCAGTAATGCGGTACCTTGAGAATCAATATGCCAGTATTCACAAAATGAACACGGAAAACCCTGAACTACCTACACATGAGGTAAAGAAAAAACATTACCTTTTTATCTGAACTTTGGGGACCCAAATAATGGGATGAACTTCAACTTTCCCATTTGAGAAAAGTTCACAACCTTTCACCTTCTATAAAAACTGCCTTTGAAATGAAATGACTTAACATTTGCCCTATTTCTTCCTTTTTAAAGGTCATGACTTATTTCATGTCACTGTTAATCTCTGTGAGGAACAAAGGCCAGGCTACAAGCCGTTTCCAGGGCTAGGCAGGGGGTCTCTGAGAGCAGCTGAGGCTGCACAGGGAGGGCAAAGGCTGCTTTCCCAGGCAGCTGCCAAGGACGGACACAGAGCCAACAGCAGCGTCTCTGGTAGCAAGGCTCTCGTGGCCTTTCTTGCTCTTTGTAGAGGGAGACCCTTCATCCTTGCACTTTCTTTTTCCCTTTTGAAAAAAAACAAACAAAAAACAAAACAAAACCAAAACCGAAAACAACACAACAGAAAGTAACCCCTGTAGGTTTAGTTGTTTCACAAGGCGGACAATAATTCCGTATTAAACAGGGAAACTACAGTTCAGCGGCTCCACCACACACGTTATTCAGCACAAGAAAACAAGCCCTTTCACCTCTGAGGGCTTTTGACCACTACCGTGGTCCCTAAAACCAGGCCAACCAGCGGCGAAAGCCGGAACCAACCTCTACCGTAACTCCCACACGACCGCCATGTTAAGGCGGGCGGGGAAAACGGGGGAGCCAGCCGACGCCGTCACGTGACTTCCGGGAAAGGCCGCCGCCGGCGCGCGGGAGGTGGGCTGGGGTCAGCGTTCCGCCGTCGCGGCGCCGGTTGGGTTTTCCTCTGCTCCCTGGCGTCCCGGGAAGTTGCCCTGGGAAGAGAGGAACGCAATAAGCCCTTGAAGAGGGGGGACGCAGCTCTGGCAGTCTTCCCGCGCGGCCCCTGTCTCGCCCCAGGCCTGGTGGTGGTCGCGGTGCAGGACTCGGCGCCATGGATCCGTTTTTGACTCTGCTGCACTCTCTCTCCTTGAGCTTGTCGGACAGCGAGCTTGCTTCCTTGAAGTTTCTCTGCCAGGATAAAATTGGGAAAAGGAAGCTTGAGTCTGTCCGAAGTGGTCGGGAGCTCTTCAGCATCCTCCTCGAGCAGCAGCTCATTACCGCAGACGACGTAGCGGTTCTGCAAGGCTTGCTTGAGAACATTAAAAGAAAAGATCTGATCTCAAGGCTGAAGCAGTTCGTAGAGGAAGGAGAAGCTAATGCTCCTGATGATCAACCAGATGCGCATGAAAAACGTAGGTGGATTGTATTTTTAATTCCCTAACCCCCAAAGCAACCCAGTAAATCCCCACGCGTCCTCCAGCTGTGGCTGTGCTTGGGGCAGACACAGCACAGCCGCCCTCAGCTCTTTGCTGTAGCTGAGTCCACTGCTAAGGGTGCTTCCGCTACGAACTGCAGCACCGGACTGTGTTGTACCCTGGGACCGTACCGTGAGGGCAGCATATGCTGCAAGCAGCTTTCCGGGGCGGAAATGTCTCGTCTCTTTTTTTTCCTTTTTTTTTTTTTTCATCGAATGGTCATTTGGATATCGTGCTGTGTACTTGGGATTCCGACTATATCCAGGAGGTTTTCAGATCATGGTGTAACTTTCAGTATGTGTGATGCAGCAAGTGTGGTAGCATTTTGCTTCAATTAAAAAAAAAAAACAACAACCACAAAAAACCCCTTAAACTAACATTTATGAATTTTGTTGTATTTCTTAGTAAATCTGTCATTAACTTGATATATTTTTGCTGTTTCAGGTCTTCTGAAGGCAGCTATTGATGTCATATGTGAAAATGTCGGGAGAGACTGGAGAATGTTGATACGAAAACTTGGTGTTCATGAAGTGAAAATAGACAGAATAGTGGCAGCCAATGAACGCAATTTGCGGGAACAGCTGTATCAGTCACTTCGAGAGTGGCAGAAATCGAAGGGAAGAGATGCAAAGGTGACTGACTTAATAAAAGCTCTTCGGGGCTGTAATATGAATTTAGTGGCAGATGTAGTTGAGCAGGAGCTTTTGCAACTGAACACTGAAATCAGGTAAAAGCAACATATAAACACTTCCACATCGCACAAGTATGAATGAAAAATTAAAAGTGCCTTCTACTCTTCTGAACCAAAATCAATATCATTGGTTCTGTTACTTATTCTGCCATTAATTTATGTGCTCTTAATAGGTTGATTTGTGGTCAGATGAAGATTAACATAAAAACAAATTCCCTTCAGGTAATCCTTTGTAATTTGATGCTTCCTTCAAAAGATTTTAACTTTTAGACTGTCGTTTAAAGGAGATTATCCTATTTTTTGGCCTTTTATACTAGTAGTGTGAAAGAGGGAGGGAGTAGCCCTCTGAGCTGTGTACTGGGTTTTCTTTTGAATAGCGTAAGATAATATCTTCCATAATTTATGGAATACAGTTGCTCTTTGTAAAAGGATACTAGGATGACTGTAACCTCAGGCCCTAAGACTGCAGTGCAAGAGGGCTAGAAACTATTGTGGTGGCTTATTCTTGGCAGAAAATGTGCCTGGGTTGAAAATCGACTAGTTGAAATCAAGTGCCTGTATCAAGTGCCTTCATCCGGAAGAAAATGTTCTCCTGAAACTATTAAAGAAACTGTGTGTCTTACAGATGATTACAGCAACCCCTTTTTACTACTGTGAATGTTTTAAGATTCTTTTACTAAGAATCCTTTTGTAACATATCACAGAGTCCTGCCTGCTGGACGTTGCACCTCACCTCATAAGTAAGCTGCTGTTATCTGTGCTCTTGGTAACAAAAGTGTGTACTGTAACAAAAACCTAGAAAACAAATTGGTTTCTTTTTAGTGAAGGGGTGTGAAAGCCTACTGAGAACAAATGTATAGTACTGACTTACCTCTAGTGGTACCCAGTGAAGATCAGCTGTCTTTCACCACAGTTCGTTCACTTCAAAGTTTGCTCCAGATCCAATAGCTCTTCCAAGTCCTCTACAGTTTTAAAGTTCATTCCTGTTCCTTGTCATTTTTTTTAAAGTGACTTTTAGCAACTCTCAGAGGAAAGAGGATTTATGAATGAGACCAGATTCAATTTTCAGCTTCATTTTGCAACAGACCTCAAAAAATGGCCTTCACACCTAACCTAAGATGGAAAAAATTGCACAAGCTTTAGGACGTGCAGGGCTGTAGATGCCTCTGGGGACTATCTGCTCTGCAAGGGGGAAAAGTTTTCCAAAATCCTTGCTTGAAGAAGTAGGATTGTTTGTTACTGCAATCATCCTTCTAACTACAAACATAACTAGAGAGGCTGCTTTTTTGCTACGGTGTGCCTTCGGTGTCATTTCAAGTTCTTTTTACATGGTGCTGTTACTGTGAAGGCCAAGTGTCAGCATGTTCTATACCACTGCTCCACGTAAATGTTGTCTGATAATTTACAACTTTTTGTCCCAGTTGGTGTTTCTACTGTGGGCATTGGCACGTGAATACTTGATTGTATTTAATGGAAACTGCTGTAATGTGAACTTTGCTTTTTATTAAGGTTTTTCCTTAAATTATTCTCACAGGTTTTTTTTTGTAATCATAATGTATGAAATATCAGTGACTATATCCAAGCAAAGGAGCAGTGGGTAATACGGCAGTTTCCACTTGTCAGCCTTTGGGGCAGGTACAGTTCTCTCAAGTACTTGCTCCAATCCTTGTCAGTAGTGATTGTCAGCTCCAAACTTCCAGGAGGTGTGTGCTGCGCTTCAGCTAAATGACGAGGTCAAAATTTTGGAGTTGTTTTTTTTTTGAATAGATTTTCCTTCTACAGTATTTATAAAAAAAAGATCAGACTTTTTTGATCATGCCTCTAAGTAATGTTTGTGAGCAGAGTGGAGTAGAAGTGAAGTTAGCAGGATGAGTTATGTTTGTGGTGAAACAGCTCTGCAGCAGTTCAAGTTCAGTCTGCCCAGTAACACGTTTTTCTTACCCACTTGTAGTAAGTCTTCTGCCTCACAGAAGATCCATTTATCAGGAATATGAAAAGAAGTACAGTGCCTATGCATATAACCCCAGGGTATTTTAAAAATCAGTAGAAATAACTTGTTAGTTGTAGTCAAGTGCTCATCAGCTACAAGATACATTTTGCCTCAGGAGATTAAAAACTTGTTTGTTTAAGGATTTGTACATAGTGGATGTTTTACTGTGTGTGAAAGCAACGACCTAGACTGCATCAATCTGTGCAGTACCTTAGGGCCAATTAAAACAATGCTTTTATTAGAGATTAAAAAGTTAATTATGTGAGAACAAAATCAAATAGAACAAAGGGAACAAAACCTTTTTATTGGGAGGAGGGATAAGGGAAAATAGTGCAATTTGTAAGGCAATGCGTTATGATCCAGTCTGTAATCTTTTATTCTCAAGTATTTTGGAGTCAAGTATGTATATTTTTATAACTTTAATTAAACTTTTATATTGTATAATTCTGTGTACTTTTCATTACAAATAGTTCTTTAAAAAACAAAAGAAATTGAACTGGTTTTTTATGGGATTGCTGTCTATGATGACATCTCTAATTGGGAGAAGATAAATGTTAAGGACACTTTAAAGCAAAGAGTGGTGCTAAACGGGCATTATGTTACCGATGACCTTCTTTGAACATGGCGGCGGAGGGGGGTGCAAAACGTTTTGTCACTGAATTTCTCAGAAGTCTTAAAAAGTCTTCAGTTTTCCTAGGAGGAATAGTATTTGCATGCTTCCCTCAGAGAAGTGTAAGAAAAAAAATAAATTCTCTGCCGGCCCTCGGGAGCCTGAAATTGAGTCGCAGTGCCCCATATAATGGGAGACAGGCCCTCTGTGAGCAAGTGACTTCCACTTGTTTTCTCTGCTAGTCATGCAGTGGTAAGGACATTGTGTTTGTTTTATAATTAATCAAAACCTTGCTTGTTCTAAACCTGTTCAGGCTTTTAGAGGATGTGTTCAGAAGTTAAACTGATAGAGGTTTCGGTGTTCTCTGAAATACATACTGGCACTGAAGCGTTAACATGCACTTAAAGCTTTGAATGGGTAAGACAAGTAACTTAATTACCTGCTTTATCAAATTCTCTGTGATACTCTACGAGAGTATCTGCCTGTGTGGAATTGCTAAAACCTTTTCCTTTTGGTCTCTTGAGAGTAGTTTCCTTACAGGCCTGAGAAAACACCATATCAAAACATGTTGAGAGTAAAAAGTGTCACCCCAGGAGAATTCTCATTTTGGAGGATTGTTTTTCCATGTTGCTTCACAGTCCCTTTCAGTACTTACTTGCCATTTCCTATGATTTTTGAAGATAACCATTATATATTACATTAAGTTGGGGTTTTTAATTGCATTATTTTCATTACTGAGTTAAAAGAAGTTTTCTAGACTTCTAATTAAAATTATACAAATTGGTTGTCATGAAATTTCAAGTGCAATGCTTTGTTTTTCTCTTTTCTGCATTCCCCGCACACAGGCAGCTGTATTTCCTCCAGCCTTTGTTTCAGTCCTAAAATAATTGGTTACTTTCTGGAATCTAATTGCTTCATTTAATTGTCTAATGCAAAAAAGCTCAGTAACGTATGCTGTATCTCAGAACTCTCTTTGGCACTTAACATGTTCTTAATTCCGGCTTCTTGCTTGAGTATTTTTCAATTTAAATTTATTTCTAATTACTGTCTTTGTTTCTTTCATAATTATCAAAAGGTGATTTGTGTTATTTTTCCCATCCCCTGCATGGATCACATACGTCCTTAAAATGTGTTCCAGCTTGGAAAATATTTTTCTAAGTTGTTTTCCCTCTTTGATTTATTACTACTTTTCTCTGCCAGTGTTTTTATTGCAAGGATGCTTTGGTAGAATTATAGAGGCTAATTCACTGTTTCAACTGTATACCATAAAAAGGAGTTTTGAGTAAGAGTTCAAAAACTTTTGAAGAATCTCTCTTTGTCTTCATAAAAATTTTCATAGCTGAGGATTACTTCACATTAAGAGGGTGTGTTGCAATGGGTTCTGGGGAACTGTAGGTTTAGAGAAAAGGAGGCACAGCTTTACTCAGCTGCCGGGAAAGCACAGATTAATGCAGGCTTCTGCCTGGGAATCCATGTGGAATAAATTTATGGGCACTCTTAATGATTAAATAGGCCTAAGTTTGATCTACAGAGCTATTTCTGCCACTGTTGCATTCTTGAGAGCAGTATGTATTCATTTGTTAAAACAGACAAAATAGCAGAGGTTTGGTTTTGTAAAATTTTATGTAATACAGCTTATTAAAATGTGTTAAGTTGGTAATACTGGTTGAGTTTAAATTCAGGAGTTCCTGTGTTTTGACCAGTGTTGGAAGTTGACAGCTCTTTTGTTTCCAAATAAGCTATGTGTATAGTTCTTGTGTTGATGGTAAGGTAGCTTTCCGTCCTTTCAGCTTGGGCTTCAGTTTGTCAAAGAAAAGGGTCATGCTGTGTTTCTGGCAGGTCACAGTTCTTAAGACAGCTCTCAAAGTAACCAGCTATTGCAGCAAAGTTCAGGTTTTGGTCTGTATTCTTTGAGACTCTGAAGAGACTGGTGTATTAAAATAACATCTCTCAAAGAGGTTTTGAGGATTACATCTCCCATACAATGTAGTAAGTATCTTTGCTAAGGACAGCAGCTTAATGTCAACTTTGTATGTCTAATTATTCAGAAAGTTACCAAACTGGCATTTCTATTTACTTCATAGCTCTTGTGTGAAGTTACACATGTGTGAAGTTACACAGAGATAAAATGGGACTACTGTGATCACAGATGTAAAAACCCATTCAACTGGGATTTTCTGTGGTAGGCATTTACAGGTGAGCCTGGTTTTGTAGAACTTTCATGTAAAGCAATAATCTTGCAATTAAAAATGTTCACCATTTTTATAATGTTTTCTTTTCCACTTCTTAATTCCCATTCCCATGGGACCATTCAGAAAATTATTTGCAGAGTTTAATCAGTGAGCACTTCTTATTGTGGTCTAACTTTTAAAAGGGTTTTAACAGTAATTCTGCAAGAGTATGCGCTACTTGTGGCAAAGATTTGTCCAAAGGGAT